TGTCTTGTGCTCAATTAATTGTGTTGCAGCTCTCAGGGCTTTCTGGCATAGGGTTGCTGGGCTCTAGTGGAGACATTTTGTCCTGGCTGTTATTGATTGTTTTAATGCTGACATCTAGGCATCTAGGTTTGGGAAATTTATAATTCTAAATGCTGATATCTGGTCTTATCTTTGTTGCTGTGTGTTTTATTCCTTAATTTCTGATGCTCGCTCTGGGTTCTTAAGAGAGTATGGTGGCTGTGTGGCCAAGTAGGGAATTCTTCTGGGATCCTGATAGGTGTGGCCTCTGGGTAAAATGTGTTTCTAGATACTGGGAGTTGAACTTGGGAGTGGGGGCTAAGAGGGCCCACAGGAGAGTGGCGAGCAGGGTATTTGTCAAATAGGGACAAGACTGAGGATAAGCCACAGCAGATATTCTTCTACAGAACCAGGGCTGAGACTGGAGGGTTGGGTTTGGAAGAGAGAAGGAAGAGGTGAAGACCTGCAGTTTGCCTACCTGCTTCCCTGGCTGGCATGGAGAGTATGTTCCCAGGGAATCCTAAAATAGATCTTAATATATATGAAACAAATAATGGAGAAAACAAGAAATTTCTTAGTAAGAGAATTGAAAAGAAAATGTACACAATGTCCGAGCAGCAGACAACAGTGAGGATCTAGGATCCATGAGTGCATGGGTACATGAGAGGGCTAACTGTGGCTATGCAGTACATTGAGGAGGAATGCAATGGAACTGTGGTGTGCTCAGCAGAAGAGAACCTGAGAAGCAGGGGGCAGGGTAGGGTTCTCTGGGGCAGCTAGGGCTTCCTCTTAGAGCCTCCCAGGGTGAAGGAACAGCTGGCATTCTGTTTCTACAGGAATACGACCAAAGCACCACTAGACCAGCAGACTTGCTCTCCTGATTCTGTCACCTCTCCCCCACACAACTGCTCTGATTCTGCAGTTACCTTGCAAGGGTCTTGAATATCTCATATGATTGTACAAGAATCCAGGCCGCCACTGTCACCCACACAGCTGCTCATCTCAGAAGTGTTGGTATCTGAAGTGGTCTTGTACAAGGTGGTCTATAGAACATAGGCAAGTGGAGGGAGCGTACACACAGAGAGAACAATCTGAATAGATACTAAAAGGAAGAGATGGTGTGTGTGTGTGGCAGGGGGGGGGGTCCCTCGGAGAGAAGTTCATGGGCATATAACCAAGTATGATTAAAGACCACAGGCAAAAATATAGTGACAGGAAAGTCAGACATGGTAGAAATTAAAAAGATAGCAGAGAGAGGAAAGGTAAATGGTGCTGTAACACACACACACACACACACACACACACACACACACACACAATCATCCTAAAACAATGTCAACACACACCTCTAACTTCTGTAAGTTGCACTTGAATTCTAACCTCAAGGTCTAGAAACTTGTATTTTAGGCCTACTTCAAACACTAATTGGCTCTACTCCTGGAACAACAACAAAAAACAAAAAACAAACAAACAAACAAAAAAAACCAGCCATTGCTTCTTTAAAGGGCTCTTTACAAATTGTAAGTGAAAACAAAGAAACCCTCAGTAAATGTGGGAAACAGCAAGGTGCAAATGACCACCACAGTGCTGCCACCATGGCTTTGAAGGATCTGGCCCCACTAATGTCAATCAACAAAGTGAGATAAGAGGGCCCAAACTCCTACGGAAGGAGGCTTTATGATACCAGGGCAGTTATTAGTTTAAATCCTTAAGCAATGAAGCTGCTATGTAAATCCAAGAGCAATGACCAATTTTCATACTATGTAGGTTTTTTCCTTTGTTTGGGTGTTTTGTTTTCTGAGATGGGGTCTTCCTCTGTGCCAAGACTAGCCTGGAACTCATTGTCAGTATTCAGACCTCTGTACTGGCTTGATCTTGGGGTTCTGATAGGATACGCCCTCAGCGGCAGCCACTAAGAGCAGCACCTGAACATTCACTATGATCCCTTTTAGAAGGACCCTGCCCATCTCCCCCCACATGCCTGAGCCTCTCTGCTTCTCTGCCTGCCTCTCTTTCTCCCCACCTCCTCTGCCTCTCTTTTCTTTTTTGTGGCTCCTATTCCCAGAGATGGAAGACCCTCCTCTCCCCTCTCCCTTTCCCTAGCCCCCCCAAAATAATAATAATTACAATGAACTCAACCCCCCCTTAAATATGTAAGGAATATGAACAAGATTCCATTTGAAATCAAGTTCTTATAAACTGTTTAGTAACAGAATTGAAGATGAGCTTGTTCACATTTTCTTGTTCAACAGGTGTAGTGGTGGTCAGCTATTATAAAGTCTCTCCACTTTATGATCTGAGCAATCTTCAAGAAGAAGTTATGGTTGAGGCAAAAAAGTCACAAAAAACTAATGATTTACTAATAGTGGCTGCCAACAACTTCTCACCTTCAATGACAGATAACATATTGAGGACTCAGCAGCAGCAACTCTAATGGTTGCCACTGATTGCCACTGAAATACTGTTCAAAAGCATCACTATTCATAATCACTGCTGAGATCAGAAATTGTACGACCTTTAGCATATCACTTTCTTGGGACTTGTGAGTGCCTAACTTTCCAAGAACTGGATTCTGCACCCTGGAGATGCTACCCTGAAAGGGTGTTGGTAGATATGTATCTACCTTTAAAGGCAAGGGCAGCAGTGCTAGCTTTCTTCAAAGAAAACAGTCTTGCAAAATGAAGAATTGAAGCTGGATTCCAAATGCCTGTAATGACCTGGATTATCTCTGATGGCCCTTCTGGAAGTCAGGGATGTGTCCATCATGCAAGCGTCATTTACCGAGCCCCACTCCATACGGAGCACCAAACTTCTCTAGAACAAGCATCATGTGAGCCCTGGCTTGGTGACATTCTTATTTCCATTCTCTTCTTTCTAAACATGTTTCTTCCTTGGGACCACCTAATACTTGCAAACAAGAGTTTAATGTCCAAACTGAGAGGCAACAGGCCCCGGGGCTCACCAAGTGCTCTACTGTTTCTAGCGATGCTGAGAAAAAAAAAGCCCTTTTAAAAGCCTGGATGATGTGCTGATCTGCCCTCAAGGATCCAGGAAGGTTAACCTTTAGCTCTGTTGGAAGATTCTTTCCAGTCAAACACAATTCCAACTGTATGGCAAGTAGTGAAATATTTCAACTTAATCCAATCAGTTTTAATTTGCAAAATGGAACAATGACTGTATTGTGTGTAGTGAACAATTTCCACTGCAAACTGAAATTTCATTTCACGGCATCTGAAGCCAGTTGTAAAATCTAACATGGTGCATATAACCACATCAGATAGGTCGTTAACTTACATTGTTAATTTAACTGTGCAGGGAGCAACTCTGGACTGCTCAGAGGCAATCCCACCAACTGCCACTGCTTATACAGAGCCTCTCCAGGAGTACTGTGACCCTGAGACCAGCCCCCAGTGTTCACAGTACCTTTGGCATGACATTCACAGGGTGATTCCACAGGGAGACTGTCATCTTTCAGCAACCCTGGAGATAACTGGGCACTCTGACTACCTTTGTCATTTGGCAGGAGAGAAGTCCCATCCTTAGAGATTCGAGGGGGCTTGTTCACATCGCAAACATCTTTGGGGAGAGCAGGGATTCTGTGTGCTGTTTAAGCCGCAAATTGACTAGGCTGACATTCAGAGATACTGTGTGAATACCCAAACCTTTCCCAGACTTTCCTGATCACAGAGGCTAGATTTTGAGGCTGCAGATCATTAGAAACCTGTGTGTTCTTGTTTAGTGACTGTTAATTGGTACTTCTCATGAGCCTGGCAGCGTTCCGTATGCTGGAAACAGGCAAGTGAATAAGTAGGAACATTATGTCAAAAATGATGTATTGATTAAGTGGGATTGCAATGGGCACTATGAAGGAGAAAAATGTGCACAAAAACTGCCAATTGGGACCTGACTTCATCTTCAGTTCTAGGCGGCTTTCCTGAGGAGGTAACATAAAATGCATGCTTAAGGGGAGGGAAACAGGATGCTGAAGTACTAGAGTGAACCATTTCGGAAGCAGAGGTGGGCTCCTGGAGTGAAGGCTCTGGGGCTAACAGGAAGGGCTTGTTCCCTGTAGGAGAGGATGCTAGCTCAGCCTTGATGGTACAAGTGGGAGAGGGTGGCATGAATATGGATGACAGGCATTTAGAAGGTGGAAGTGACAGATCAGATTGTGCTGATCAATTGGAGGTAGGCAGTGGGAGCCAAGGAGCCTCAACGATCCCTCCCTGCCCTGTGCTGGCAGCTGTAGGATGAAGTCAAGCTTAGGATTCTAGTAAGGATTTGTGCAAGCAGTGTGGCAAATCACAAATCTTTCATTCAGAACATGGAAGTTGAAGTCCTGTGGGACACTGGTTTGCCTACTGGGGACGCCCAATGTTGGTAGGTGATTTTCGGAAGATTTACCAAAGTGATAGGGACAGAACCAGGTCTGGGGAACCTAAAGCATTTGGAGGCTTCTAAATGAGTCTTTGGGGGACTAATTTTAAAATACCTCATTTTTACTTCAGTTTTTATATATCCTTTTATTAAAGTAAGAACACATTTTCTAAGATCTACGAATTTACAAAATGTTGTAAGACTTCTCTGTTGTCACCTTTCATTTCCATATCTACTCCTGGAGTGGGGGAACATCGTAAAATGGTTCAAGGTGTCCTCCCTATGGCCCAGGTGTTCCAAGGAATGTTTTCATGGCTCAGAAGACGTGCAGTGAAACTGGCTGGACACAAAGGAGGGCAGGAAAACTTTCACCCGCATCCAGGCTCATCCATTTGTCATCTTCCCTTTCTTCAAGGCTCAGGGGATGTTTGTGGTTAGAGAAACAAAGCTTTCTTGTGTGTAGGTCTCAGGGAGCCTTAACTGCCTCTGCTTTGGCTCTACATAAAGACTCTGTTCTGGGAAGGACTTTTGAACAGAGTGGAACATTTTTTTCTGTGTCCTAGCATCCCTGAACCTCTTGCTGTTGTTTCCCTTGCTGCCCCCAATAGCTCCTGGACTGTTTTGTGATCCCGGTGGTGATTTTGCTCTCCTGGTTCTTCCTGCTGATCCGGTACAAGGCTGTGCATTTCATCGGCATCGTGGTCTGCATCCTGGGCATGGGCTGCATGGTGGGAGCAGACGTGCTCGTGGGAAGGCACCAGGGAGCAGGTGAGTGCCGGGTGGTCACCAAGTCACTCATCTCTTTGAGGGGATCTCAGGGAAACCTACAATGTCTATGGTTGGACACAGGACTCCTAGGAACTGGGTTCTTCCTGTGGCAGAGTTCATGATCATGTTTTTGCCCCGTACCCAAAATAGTAGCACTTCTAAGGTCCTTGATGTTCATGTCCTGGGTGAATGTAAGATGTAAAATTCAGAGACATTTGCATAATTTTTAAAAGTGAGGTCACCATCTAGGAGACAGAAGCTTTGAAGGTCAGAGCTGCTGGCCTGGAATAGCCAGTTAAAAGTAGTGTTAACAAGTCGATCAGCAACTCAGCCACAAAACCTTCCTCACTCTTCCTCACCCAGCCCCAGCTCTGCCAGGACAGAGAAACACTAAACTCCATAACTACTGGGCAATGGTTGGTTTATAGGCCAGAGAATGGGTATTTGCAATCTGAAGACCAGAGTAGGATGCATCATTTCCAGAGGCTAGGTGCCAACTCATGCATGTTTTTTTTTTTTTCACTTGTCTTGATGGGAGGAGTTGTTACATTGATCAAAACTTAGAGACTAACATGATAGAGGTTTGTGATTAAGTCAGCAGATTCCTCTGAATCTTCCCAGGGAACCCTGATCCTAGTGGATTCTCAAAGGACTTTCTCAATAGGTTTCAATTCTTGGAATACAGAAAGAGTTTTAGAAGAGACAAAAAATGACACAGGCACCCCCTTCACTGTCATCAGAAGGGGAGCAGAAAGTGCTCACCTTCTAAAGTTCATGAAATTGCTTTTTCTTTTAAAAAGTTAGATAACGAAGACTCAAAATTGGGTCAGTTTGCTTTATGAGACAAGGCTATATGAGATATCTGAAATGGTGTCACTTATATTGCATTATAGAAGTTTGTAGCAAACAATAACTACCTTCTTCAGCCCCCTTTATATTTGACATGACAGAACATCAAGTTCTGGGAAAGCCAAGCAAATTGTCCAAGATCATAGTGCTGAAATGAGAGGATAGACTCCTGGGCTCCCAACCTTTAGAGCAGGTTTTCTTCCTTCCACATGGCTAACAGTTAAAGCTACAACACAGAATACAGAGACGTCCTCAGTCTCTTGGACCTGCAGCCAGAAGGTTATGAATCCCTATCTCAGCAGATGGCTTAGAATTATATACCCACCTTCTCACCAGTTCTCTCTTGTGAAACACTTGTTCCATGGACCATTGAATGACAGTGTGTCATAGGTCTGACTGTGTGCTTCATCCACACTCAGTGGTCTTGATAGGAATCTCTTCCGAACTCAATAGATAGTATTCTGTCTGATATAATGTCACAGTTTGGCTACAGTTTCTAAGCTGTTTTGGTACTGTATAAGCACAGATGAAACTGAAGTATATACCCTTATTTAGAGAAAATTTGGCTGTTGACCCCAGCTGTTCATGCTAATCATCCTCTTACTCCATAGTCAATCAAGATAGTTGTTCCGATAACTCAGAGTATTTTGGACTCCAATAGTAAGCTAACTTTGAAATGATTTCTTAGATTACATACACTAATTCTGTAAAAATGTTTTCTGGCCCTGAAGTGGTAGGAAAACAGTACTAAGAAAAAGACAACAAATCCATTTGAGAGCCTTTCCTTAAGCCGTCAAAATCTTGTTGTAATTGAAAGGAAGACACGACTAAAACATACTGAAGTGGTACAGCACTGTCCCTGTAGACCTGCTTGAGGCTCATAGCATTGCCTTTTGTGACATGCAAAGCTCCTTTGTTAACAGAATTAAATCTCATCACTGTAGAGCATGCTCTATGCTAGTGAAATGGTGCCCACACATATGGATCAATGCCTTAAGGCCAGCCCAAATATGAAATTCGGGGGCTCATTGACTACACATACTTTATCTCTATAAAATACTAAATTTGGCAGAAATCTCAACTATTATATAAGCTATTTTTAAAAACACATTGCTTTGGGAATCAATAGAATTTCAAAATTTGTATGCATGATTGCTAAAATTGTCTAACTTGTTTCTACCTTTACAGTACAGTGGGTTTAATTGCATTATTCAGCCAAGATCACCAGGCTTTTCTGTAATATTTTGGAGACTCACAAGAAGTTTAATGAATCATTGGACTCATATAAATTCTTACAATCATATTAAGAGCTTTTCAAAGGAAAAGAGAATGTCTGACTTCATTTTTTATTATATTGCTTAAGTCCTGTTTGCTCTGAGCTTAAGATTTTGACAGTTTTTAGCCCACATTGATTTTAGCCCACTCACAATTACTTCGGCCTCATTATAGTTAATTGTTTTCATTTTCTTTGTTGGCATGGTTCTTCTTCAGCACACCAGGAATTCTTCCTTGATTTAAGCCTGGGTGGAGGAACCTTCTCAGATAATATCAGGAATTGAATACAAAATACTAGTCCAGGCCCAGAATGAATGGTGCTGATGAAACTTGCCCATCATGTTTGTCTACTGCAGACAGGGGTCAAATGAAGGCACCCAAGCTCTTGGCATGAGAGACCTGACTTTGACACCCATGGAGTGCCTATCACAGGCACAGCTGGTCACCGACCATAAGAACTTTCTACACCATTAAGCTCTTCTAAAGTAGATTTCTTTTCCAAGTTGGTCAATAAAATCATTGGACCTAATATGTAAACTCTTTTGCCATTAGCTTCCCATCTGCATCACGGGCCTCTCTGAAAGACCATCTATGCCTTTGCTGATGTGAGTAGTGAGAGATACCTAGTAGATTGTGGGGATGTTAGAAATGGTGGAGCACGTGCATAAACATGACCCAGTAAATCCCCAGAGATACATCACCGTGACCTCTACTTTTCTAACTCGTGGATATAAATACTAAAGATGAAAGCTGTAAGAAGAGGACAAAAAATTAAAATCATGCCCTTTTATAAAATATTGCTTCTCCTAAAATAGCCTTTTTCTATTATATTTATTGCATCTTTTAGGTCATTTGTGATGATGTTAGTTACCCATGACAATAATTTATTATTAGCTATAACTTTGTATTTATTTCAAGGAAAAGAAAACACTTTTAACGAGCCCGACAGCTCAACAGAATCAAATATAAGTGACATTTTTGCTGAATATGCCGTGCTGCCAGGTATTTTCTTGCACATTTTATCCTAATAACTCTGAAAAATTCCCATGTTTCATCCTCAGAAATCAAGGTAAATTGGTGGCCTAGATGGAAAATCTTTACAGTTTTTTTTTATTCAACTCAATTTTTGTTTTTCTATAATTGCATCTTGTTTGAGAAATATGAAGGTGCTTTAAAATGGTTAATTAGAGTAAAGACTATCCTGGATTGTTCAGGATGGATGATTGCTCAGATGTGAGATTTTAAAGTTAGCACTGAGTGCCATGAAAACAAGACAGTTAGTTCTATATTTAAAACTCCAATGCATTTAAAGAGATGGATACATTTTCATCAAAGGAACTAGCAGTCCTCCAATACACCCAAATAATAAAACTCATTCTTGAACTAGTGGCAACTCATGCTTTTTGGATAACTTTTTCCTAGTACCACATATAACAAATATCTATCTTTAAAAGTTGTTTCTGGTGATTAAATAAAAATATAATATGGAAAACTAATTATTGAAAAACAATTATGAAATGGTTGACTAGAAACCATTATCAGTCTAGGCTGAAAAATGTCCCACCCATAGAGACAGAAAGTTATTCAAATAGAATGAAGATTAGCCCTTTAAAAACATCATTTGTGAACAAGTAGTGAGACGTGGTATGTTAAACATTTTCTACATACTATTTTATTCTTGCAATAATAACATTTAAGATAAAGAAAACAATGTAAAGGAAGACCCTGGTATTCATGACAGGTGTGATTTACCCAGATCTACCTGAATGGAAAACTATCAACATTCAAAGCATTGCCATATGAGAGGTCAAGACATTTCCAGTCAGATAATTAATTTTAACACTCTGGGAATTTAGAATGGTGTAGTACAGTGGAAGTATATAGCATCATGGTGGAACTATAGCTCCCTTCATGACATACAAGAAACAGAAAGAGACTAAGAGGAATGGACTGGGTGTCAATATCCACTTTAGGGCCAGGCTCCAAAAGACATCTTCTGTCTTCAGCTCTACCTCCTAGTAGTTTCCACTCCTTGTCAATAGCACCATATGCTGGGAACCAAGTCTTCACAAGAGGGCTTTCAGGAATATTTAAGTCCAAATGGTAGCCCATGCTATATGCATATACATCCACTTTAAATTAACTTAAAAACAGATGAATAGAATTACTGCTAATTCATAATAAACACTATGCAATATTTTGTCAAATGATAACTTTGAAAATATTTTTGAATCGGAAGTTGTATGCAATTATATTATTGTCAAAAATTATTGCCAACTAAATGAAGATTTAAAGCACTGATAACTGCATTTCCTTGGTAGGTTAGTCTGCAGGCTAGCCTATAACTGTAAAAAAGGGGTGGGTGGGACCTGCCCTTCCAGAGTACCTGACTGATTTCTAGCACTCACATTTGGCATCTTACAGCTGCTGTAACTCCAGCTACTGGTGATGTGACATCCATGTGTGCACATGGATAAAAAAAAAATCTTTTTTTTCAACTTTTTTTTATTTGAATTAGAAACAGGATTGTTTTATATGACAATCCCAGTTCCCTTCTCCCACCCGTCCTCCCCTAACCCCCCCAACTAAAACCTTATCTGTCACATATCTTTTGTGCTCCCCCTGGATGGTGAGGCCTTCCATAGGGTGTTATCAGAGTCTTTCGTATCCTTTGGGATAGGAACTAGGCCCATACCTGTTTGTCTTGGCTCAGAGAGTATTCCTCTATATGGAATAGGCTCCCAAAGTCCACACCTATGCTAGGGATAAATACTGGGCTTCTACAGGATGTCCCATAGACTTTTGAGGTTTCCTCACAGAAACCCATGTTCCTGGGGTCTGGACCAGTCCCATGCTGGTATTCCAGCTATCAGACTGGGGAGCAAGAGTTCCTGGATGTTCAGGTCAGCTGTTTCTGTGTGTTTCACCAGCCTGGTCTGGAGCTCTGTGCTCTTCACTGGTCCTTCTCTGCATCTGGGTTCCAGTTCAGTTCGGTGATTAGTTATGGGTGTCTGCTTCTACTTCCACCAGCTACTGGATGAAGGCTATAGGATGGCATATAAGTCAGTCATCAATTTCATAATCAGGGGAGGACAGATAAAAATAAATCTTAAAAGATAAAAAGCTGTGTAAGACTAGTCACAAAAAAACAGAGTCCACTTTTCAGGACTTTTAAAAGATAGACTGATGTTCCTCTAGCTCTTATTAAAATATTTCATTATGACTTCGTTTTCAGGAATTCATTTATATAAAATTAATTGTATTAACTAAGAGTTTTATTAAGAAGCCCTTCTGTATTTAACTAGTACAACAATAATTGATATTCATGACAATGACTTCATGTCATTACAAGAGTCTGAACTATTTCCTGAATGAAAAATGACTAAAAGATATGCTGAGAATTTGGGGTATTGACTGTGTCAAGTTCAAAGATTTTCATACTTCAGTCGTTGACACATAGAGATTAGACAGTTGCTGAAGATTCTCCTGCACCCCCACACCCCCAGGCAACCTTCATTTCTCTAACAGACGTGCCCAGGGCATCTTCCCCCAGGTCTGCTTTCTCATCAGGGCCTCATTAAGATTTTTGTTCACCTGCTGAATGGTGATGGTAGCTCCTCATGGACTCAAGGAAGTCTCCAAGCCCTCCCAGAATCACATCCTCAATTTCATTCCCTTGAGAGTCACTCCAGCAAGCTGTTGTCTTTCAGGGTCTCTTCCACTGTCCTCCCACCGGGAGTGGGAAGTTGCCTGGGAAATGGTGATGATGCCATTTAGCATCATCACCATTATATTATATTAGAGATATAATCCAGGTGACGCCATGCAGAAATCCATCCAAGCCCTACTTTGAGTCATGTGAACCCTCTACCTAGACAATGTCCCATGCTCTCCAAAGAATGGTGGCTGCCTTCTTCTACAGTTTTATGGTTTGTTCAGATAATCTCAGAATTCTAAGTTTCCAAAGGTGGGTGCCTTCCTTAAGGGTGCTGTTGCAGTGGGCACCCTTCCCATCCTTCTCTGCTCTCCCAGAGCTGTGTCTGCAAAGCTGACAGCCGCCTGGCACCTGATGCACGGAGCTAAAAGGCACCAGAGAGAGTCCACCAATGAGGTTGCTGCCACTGCTCATTTTGATTCTCTCTTTCCAGGGCTTCCATCCACACTGCCTGAAGTAGGAAGAGTTTTCTTAATTATAGGATAAGGAATTTATTAAAAACTCGGCATAACAGAACCAATCCAAACTGAGTTTTAAACCAACATGATTTTTGTTTGAAAAATAGAATTATGGTGAATTATTTCTTGAACTGCCTCAGAGAAGTTGCAATCTTACAAATCCTGTCAGTTCCCTTGTCTAAATAGGTCCTCATTTTGCCAATGGTCAAAAACAGATTATTGACTGCTGTTATACATTAAATTCTATGCATTGAAGAGACTGGAAACTGACTTCATTGAGTTTATGACAGATTCACCAAACAACTGGAAATGCCATTAAACAAAAATAATACATGTACATATTAGCTTGTATTTGCAGACACATCCCTAGACAGAGACATGGGCTTGGAGAGAATTAGCCTGAAGAAAACTTCATTCTTCAGGAAAATTTCCAGTTCCACTAAGATAGGTAGCTTTTTATATCCCAGCATGTCTAGAAAACATATTTTTAAAACCTTTACTTGATTCCAGTTGGAAATTGCTGGGCTTCTTATAAAAGTGTCAGAAGAAAATAGATAAGAGAAGCTCAGTTTTCTGGTGCCAGGTTCTTGTTAGGAAGATTTTCCTGAGGCTCCATCTGCTTTCTTTGTTTCCTAGGGGAAAATAAGCTGGTAGGGGACCTCCTGGTCTTGGGAGGAGCCACACTGTACGGCATCTCCAACGTCTGGGAAGAATCCATCATCCGAACTCTGAGCCGAGTGGAGTTTCTAGGAATGATTGGTCTCTTTGGTGCATTTTTCAGTGGAATTCAATTGTAAGTAAAAACAACAAGAAACTTGAAAGCTATAACAAGTGGGTTTCATTTTTCCAGATTTTGCCCTCAGCGTGTAAAAACCAAGGCAGAAAGGAAATCATCAACCTCCTGCACAAAGATCTTATTCAATGTGCAAAATGTATCCTCATTAGTAAATTACTGCCCAACTAAGTAAGTGTATTATAAATTACTATAAATCATTTAATAGATTTTGAAGATGATTTTGGAGAATTAGAAGTATACTCATTGTCCCAGTGACTGGGTTATAATTCACAAAGACAGTATAAACAAAGCATAAATGTCATGATTTGATGCACTTCAAAGGGACTATGTTTTGTTTATTAGTGACAACTGTTAGGAAATGTCTACTTTAAAACTGCCCTTTTAATGGGAGAGATGGCTCAGCAGTTAAAAGCACTGGCTGCTCTTCCTGAGGACCCAGGTTCTTGTCTCAGCATCCATATAAATGCTCACACTGTAGGTGACTCCAGCCCCAGTGTATCTGATGCCCTCTTCTGGTCTTCTTAGACACCAGGCATGGGTGTGGTGCAAAGGCAGACATGCAGGCAAAATACTCATGTACATAAAATAAAATGGAAACATTTAAAAATAGAATTGCCCTTTTATAGGTATTCTTTGTTGCCTATGTGTTTGCAAGAATGAACCACATTTCAAATTCACATATAAGAATTTAGCATTCTCTTTTCCTTACAAAGATAGAGACAGAACATTGAGATTTACTAAAATGCACTGAACATTCAAATGCCAAAAAGCAAAATGCACCAGTTTGTCAATAATTCCAAAACTGGAGCAAAAGTCACTCCTTAAAGCACTGTCTGGTCCCTCAAAATTTGTTGTAAATGAAGCATCATTTCCTACCAGTGAAGAACACACATTTCAGGTCATATGAGAAACCATCTAGTTTCACCAAATAAGCAATTGCTATTCCATGAAATTCCTTTCTATAAAACAAACTCTTTGTAATTGTATAGGTTTGTTGTCAGAAATTACTTGAGGAAAACCTTTTGGCATCACTTGTATATATAGGTTGTTCGCAGCACATCCCCAAAGCCTGTGTCCTGAAAGACTGCAAACTCTCTAGAAGACACACAGAAATGGAAAGCTGGGGATTTATTTGGATTTCATTTCGAAAGTATGATGGCATTTCAGAGCTCCTAAATTTGCCAATTCATCTTTGTGAGAGGGAAAAAAAAGGATTATCTAGGTAAACTACCCCTGGCTGGCATTTTATAGATGGATGGTTCATTTTATACATTATTAGTAGTGTTCTTGCATCCAAAATATATATCCAGAGATCTGCTGCTCTTTTGCTTGGTTATGGTCTGTTATGGCTAATGGAGCTATGGGGGAGGGGCATTGCTGCCAAAGTAAGGGCTTTGTTTGGTGAATCAGTTAAGTTGATACCTTGCTGGTAGAGTTATTGAGGTGGCACCACCCTAACCTCCTGATCCAGTTCAGTTCTTGGAGCAACAACACTGCCATTGCCAAGAACTAGTCATCAGCTAAGTGCCTCCCTGAGGCCCTCCAAGCTCACCTGAATCTAAAGGTGTATGGAGGAGGTTCTAGAGGCAATGGCTTAACTCTCCAGATGACGATCAGACACATGTAACTCTGAGAATCAGTACTGTATTGAATGTTCAGTGAAGAGATTAAGACTGTAAACATAGAGTTTTCTCAACTTTGCCATTTGCTTCCCCTAAAGAACATGGGCACAAACAAACTAAACCCTAGAAACCTGTTTGGTTGAGCATACTACAATTTAAACTCCACCAGACCCTCATGGTTGCTGGCCACACATAGCCAATACCTTCCAGGATGAGACCACAGGCTGCCTCTGCAGAGGCCAATTTAGTTTTGAAGTTCAAATGGTTTTGTTAAGATTTGTATAACTATGGTAAATGACAGAAAAAGGAAGCGACGTGTGTAATCCTTTTGCTCATTTCCTTTGATTCTACAGAGCCATCATGGAACATAAGGAGCTGCTAAAGGTACCCTGGGATTGGCAAATAGGTAGGTTCTGCTTATTCAATGTTATGTTTTTATTAGGAAATCTGAGAAATGCGTTTGAAAAGGTGTGTGAGGAGGTTTGGATGGGGCAGGCAAGGAAGGGATTTAGAATGACAGGGGACAAAAGAAGATGAAATTACCTTGCCAAGTTGGGAAGCCCTTCACACAATAAGAGACTGGATTTCCTGAATCATCTAGCTTCCTGCTTGGGCCTCTGCAGTTAACACTGTCAGGGTGTTTTATGGGAGACACAAAAGTGTGTTATTAGGTTAAAGACCAACTGAAAAAGAAAGGCCCAAGGCAGTAGTGGTATAGAAATGAGAGCAATTTGCTCCAGTCGAGAAATACAGAATGGATGTGGTCATTAAAAAGCAGCACTTTGGGAAAGGGGGAAACTGAACTTAACAAAAGACATGAAAGAAACAATGTAATGGGCATCCTGGCTCTTCATAACCTTTTCAGAACGGAACACTTACACTTAAGAAATTGTTAATTGATCTCTAACTGGCCCTGGAAACACTAGACAGGCATTCAACTATTCCATAGAGTATCTTAGATTCTACCTGTTTCTAAACTCGCTTTCTTTAAAAAAAAAAAAAATTAGGGTAAGGCTTTCAGATCCATGGTGATACTCTAATTAGCAATCATTCTGCAAGGCCTAGGAGGAAATGCCCCTTAATTCACTCATAAACTCTATCTTGAATGAACAGATACCAGCAGTGAACACGGCTTAAGTTTAGGCCGGCAATTCTTAACCTGTGGGTCGTGACTCCTTTGGGGTCGGATATCGTATATTTACATTATGATTCACAGCAGAAGCAAAATTACAGTTATGAAGTAGCAACATTTTATAGTTGGGGTTGCCACAGTATGAGGAACTGTATTAAAGAGTCTCAGCATTAGGAAGGTTGAGAACCATTGGTTTAGGTCAGGTGGGGTAGTACTTGAAATATGTGTGCAGAATAGTGTAAATTAGGGTTGGGGGATACAGATGCTGCCACCTCACCTCCAATATGTATAGCTTTGGTATACATGACAGCTTCTGTGTATTTTCCTTCCATTGGAAAAGACATCAGCATCACTGTATCCAGCCCCTGCCCATAAGCATCCAGAACTGGTTTACTACCAACACTATGCCCCCTGGTGGCTGACTGAGTGACAGTCATTTTTATGAACCGATGGGTTTGCTCAGTGACTTCAAACAACCCTTGTGTTTGTTTTAGAGTCCTGCATTTGTTTGTTTCTCAAGTATGGATAGGGGATATTATAGTTAAATGAAAATCAACAGAGAGGAGGGTGAGGGAAGAGGAGGAGAGGACAGCTAGGAAAGAAAGCACCTGCCAGAAGCATGCGCCTTTGTGACTCTTGAAGCCAGGATTCTTAAACGTGACTTGCTCCACAGCACTTCACAGTGGTCTGTGAGGATAAATTAATTCGATATTGATGGTAATGGCAGTAATCAAAAGGAATTTGTCCTCTAATTATGGAGATGTCCTGTGCATGTCCGCCGAGACTTTGTTATAATTCAGTGTTAGTTAAATGTGCCGTCACAAGGTAGTTTTATCCTGAACTCTCATATGGCCATTAAGATGTCAGTCCCCTGCAGCTCAAGATGATGAAGACTGTGTAAAAGGAACATATCACAGGGCCATCAAATTAATTCCTGGTAGGAAATGAAGCCAAAATGGCCTAGATATAAGATCAAATATTCATTTTCCCCCTTCCTGAAGCACTGTTCACTTGAATTGGATATTTTATGCCACAGCCACCTTAGTCCCTGTAAACTTACTCTGATTGACTGCAGAGCCTGGTTGTCTAGCTGAGTTATAGTCATGTGGCATTCAGTAAACCACTGATCATTAAATGAGCAGGTGAGTGAATGACAGCAGAAAAAAATGGGTCTCTATTCTTACAAGCAGAGGCTTGAGATAATGCTGCACTGTCTTCTGAGTAACTGAGAAATGGCAGAGAAGCTACTAAAGTTCATGGACCAAAGGATCAGGGAGACACTGGGGGAGGTCAACATCATGTTATGCCTCCCCCAACCCCCGCATGCTTCAGGAGGTCAGCCACGAGTGAACGAGAGCCCTACCCTTCATGGGTGTGTCCTGGAGAAGAGCACCTGTCACTCTGGTGAAAAGAACAGAATATAGAGAGAGTGGAATATAGTTTATAGGTAGAGCCCTTGATTGGTGTGTTCAAGGACCTAAGATCAGTTTCCAGTAACACATATTGGGGTAGGGACAGGGATGACACAGAAGGAGAGACGATCTTCATTCACGCTGATCTATCAATGAATTTCCCCTACCTTTCTCTGCCTACAATTCTAATATACCTCACAGAATCTCTGGGGCAGCTCCTATGTTATCAACACAGAGAGTGTTTTTCCCCTGTGAATGTAAGTAGGAAAAGAAGTACTTTATATTTTCAGGATATGAAGATTATTTTCAGTGGATTATTGTTTTGTAGAGTGCGTGTACTAACTTCAAGATAGAGCGATTAAAAACAAGATGATAATGGTTATCATTGTTTTCATTCCTTTGTTTTACTCCACTAAGCATAAAGATTGCTTGTGATTATCTAATCAGTAAACTCAAGTAAAACATAGGACTTAATACAGCCAAACTGTCCTCCCCCGGAGCAGGAACGTTAGGCTCACAGCCAGAAATCCAGTAAACAACTTAAATATTCCCTTTTATCGAATGTGCCATTTTGTGTTAATGGGTGTATGAACAAATGTAAGCTGATGTGGAAGTCAAATGTGAAGGAAAGAATGTTCTGGGGGTCAAGAGAAATAGGTTTGCTTGCATGGGGTGCCTTTGCACTTTTGATGTGATAGCTGATGACTGTTTTGTTACCCCCACCTGGCAATGGGATCATGTGGTCACAGAGCAGGGAACTTCTGAAAGTTCCTTAAGAATGCCTTCAGGAGTGCTGGGAGAAGGCTCAGTGGATAGAGGGATGGCTGAAAGTATGAGGACCTGAACTCAGATCCTCAGACCTCGGGTAAAAAGCAAGATATGGTGGATTGCATCTGTAATGTCAACACTGGGGAGGCAGACACAAGTAGATCATGGGGCCTTACTGCCCAGCTAGTCTAGTTAATCTTGGAGCACTGAGTTCCTGAAGACTTCCTGTCTCAAGAAATCAACTGGAAAATGATTGAGAAGACACTTGATATCAATCTTTGATTTATACACACACACATACAGACACTCTCTCTTTCCATCTCTCTTTCTCTTCCTCTCTCTCTCTCTCTCTCTCTCTCTCACACACACACACACAAAGTATCAGATCCCACAAATCTATAACTGTACTTAATATAATCATTATATATTTGCTAGCCAAAAATAGTTCCTTTGCTTGATCATATCTATTGATTGGAAATTCTCCTTGTACAGCAAACTGGGTCTTGAGGTGAACTTCTAATGTCCATTAACTACCTAATGTCTACCTCAGAACAGCAGGTGGGCAAGACATGGCAATACTTTATCCCTCCTCTGTCTAATCATGTGTCCATTCGACTGACTGCTTTACTCGCAAAATAGGGTATCCACACACAAAAGCCCTTGCTGGCTTAGTAGAAGCAATCATCTATGATGGTGTGTGTCACCCCCATCTAACTTCAGCAGTGTTATGAAATACATGTAGAATGTTTGAACTGGAGTCATCCTGAGTTGGCCAGATTACTAGAGTGATGCTCTGTTATATAGCTGTGTTCCTATGTGGTTTCTAAAGTCCTGCCTCTTCTCTGAGACTGCTCATGACACATCCAGAACTCTACTAGACTAATCCACATGAATGGTGAAGAATTATCTAAACCAACACGTTCAAGTGTTGTTTCGCTTCCCCTGAAAATGTGACCTCTCATTGCTCCCTCTATCTCAGTAAATGTCACCATGATGCACCCATTTGCTGCAGCAGAGAGATAGCAGCTTCCTTCATGCCCTCCTTCCCCACCACAGCTTAACTTCAAGCCATCAACAGGTTGGCTCTGACCCAGCCACTTCCCTTTTGCTCCCCAAGTGAACCACCGTATTTTCCTGCCTGATCACAGACACCACTCTCCCCACAACTCTCTTTTCATGTTGTCCTCATTTCATTCCTCCTCCTAAGAGTAGCCAAAGTCATCTTTTAAAAATGTACTTCAGAGTCGGTGTTGGTGGCACACGCCTTTAATCCCAGCACTCGGGAGGCAAAGGTGGGCAGATCTCTGTGAGTTTGAGACCAGCCTGGTCTACAAGAGCTAGCTCCAGGACAGCCTCCAAAGCCACAGGGAAACCCTGTCTCAAAAACAAACAAACAAACAAACAAAAAAGTACATCATGTTGTGATAAATCATTGGTACAAACTGCACAGGGGATTCCTAGTGCAATTAGAAATTTCTTTCTAAGACATTCGGGGATCTGCATGATCTACAGCCTTTTTAATTCCTCTACCTCATGATTCAGTCATTCTGGCCTCTGGAAGCCCCTAGAATAAACTATAACTTCCTCCTCACTGAGAGTCTTTTCAGGTAAGACATCCTCTCATCTCCCGCTAGTCCTTGAATTCAAAGTAAATGCCACCTCTGCAGAGCGGACTTAGCTGAGGATCCTTCTTAAAGTAAGCCCTGGCCATTCTCTCCAAGAAAACTTTTCATTATCTCACGATGAGCAGCTTTAAGCTTCTTGTCTGTTCCCCATTTCACTGGATTCCTAGTCAAGCAGAAGACCCATGGCACACTAGATTCACAATGAAAAATTTGTTGAAAACGAAGAGTTGAGGGACAGATGGGGTGGGAGAGCAAGGGAAGAGATATCACAATTGAGGAAGCCATTATGGAGCTAGGGAGAACCTTGATGTTAGGGACATTCCCAGGCATTCACAGGGATGGCCCCAGATAAGAACTCTAGCAATAGTGGAGAGGGTGTCTAAACTGGCCCTCCCCTGTAATCAGATTGGTGACTCATGGAAGCAGATACATAGATCCACATCCAAGTTCCAGGCCGAGCCATGGAAGTCCAGTTGAAAAGAGGGAGGAGGTATTATATGAGCAAGGGGTGGGGTGGGGGGTCAAGATCATGACAGGGAAACCCACAGAGACAGTTGACTGGAACTTGTGGGAGCTCACAGACTCTAGACTGACTTCTGGGGAGCCTGCATAGGACCGAATCAGGCCCTCTGCATGTGGTCAACAGTTTTGTAGTCTGCTCTGTTTGTGGGACTCTAGACAATGGAACCAGGATCTATCCCTAGCACATGAGCTGACTTTTTGGAACCTATTCCTTATAGTGGGTTGCCTTGCTCGGTTTTGATACAGGGAAGAGGGGTTTGGTTCTGCCTAAACTGAATATACCAGGCTTTGTTGACTCACCATGGGAGGCCTTACCCTTTCTGAGAAGTGAATGGGGTGAGTGGGGGGAGATGGGGAGAGGGGGAGGAGAAGAGGGAGGGGGAACTATGGATGGTGTGTAAAATGAATAAAATAAAATTTTAATATTAAAAAGAAAAAGAGAGTGAATACAAAGTATCAGAGCCCACAAGTCACTGTCCATGTATGTTTTACCAAGAAATAAGATGGAAGATTAAAGAGGGAGGGAAGGAGGGAGGGAAGGAGGAAGGGAGGGAGGGAGGGAAGGTGGGCTCTGGTGTGTCTGGACTATATTCTACCCAAATTTGATTATCTTTAGTAGAATAATTTATGAATAGAACTTGTTCCTGTCTATTAATGGTAGATTTCTTAAGGAATTCTGAATTAATTCTCAGGTCTTTTCATGTATTAGTCAGAGGTTATCTAGTATTTGTTATATATTATTTTGTAAGATGGTTAAAAGGAAAGTCAGTTATAAGTAACATGAAACTCAAGTGAAATTGACTATTTTTATGGAATTAAAATTTCTGATGGAGAGTCATACACCATGTACTAATATTTCAGCAGATTATATATGTGCAATGAGGTCTCCTAGCTTACTGAACCCAAAAATAGGGATATCAGCCTGCTTGGTTTGGAGGTCATGTCCACCACACTAGAGGGGGCTGTTGTACCATTTGCTTAATGTTCTCAATGATTTTTAAATGTATCTGATGTAGCTTTTTTTAGACTTAGGATCAGAAATATAGAATAAACTCTGTGCCCTTTAGGAGCAAAGCAATGGAGGAATCACCAATCTTAATCAGAAGACCTGTACATCCAATAGTCCCCCCGAACTCACAGGATTCAAAGAAAGCAAAGTGCTCACATTCTGCACCAGGCACCTTTAATCCAAGTCTCCATTGGAGAGGTTACTTATGATATCCAGAAAACCATAGAATTGTATTATGTCATGTTCTTTCAGAGAACAAGCAGAAAAGTGAGCATTATTTATGCATATGTATCACCTCACTATCTGGGGGAATGATGGATCCTACAGTCACCTATAGAACCCTGCTATATACAATCCAAACCCTGTACTCACAGAATCAGTATTAACAATAGTGTGCCTAGAGTCTATAATAACCTAGGAAAGCTGACAGAAGGATAACTCTGAATTTCTTTGGGGTAGAGATGAACACAATTCATTAGTTTAAAAGACATTAATAAATTTCCTATGTTCAAAGAAATTCCATTGTCTGTCCAAAGATGTAGTTTAAGTCTTCAGTTTGGTGGTCCAAGTTCAGATCTCTAATTTCTGTACTGTGTAGTTTACCATTGAGAGCAGTACATAGTACATTTCATTCATGTTTTGCAAATAAAGCCTAAGTGGTTAAAACTGTTTTGAAATACATGGACAGGCTGTGAGAGATGGCTCAGCAGCTAAGGGAAGTTGGCTGTTCTTGCAGAGGACCTGAGTTTGGTTCTCTCCACCCATATTTTAGAGTCTCACAATGGCCTTCAACTCCAGCTCTTAAGGTCTGATGCTTTCTTCTGACCTCCTCAAGCACACACACACACACACACACACACACACACACACACTGAGGGGGGATCTTAAAACTGACACCAGTTGCAACCAATTGGGGTAGACTTTGGGCCTCTCTACATATTGCGAACAAGAAGCTTTTCTGGAAGCAGTTGGTTGTCAGCTTCATAGCAATAAGAAGGTGCATTTTCCAAGCACAGATTTTAAGTCCCCATTTTATGTTTTATCTGGGTACCAGCCAATATCAAACACCACACAATGCGGTGAAGGAATAAAATTACCTATAATGAGTCATGGATGATGTGCCCTGTCCCCTTATCTTCCAAGTCCAGATGCTGAAGATGCCTTGCAGAATCCCTGACATTTCTTCTCTTTGCTTCCTAGGACTGCTCTATGTTGGCTTTAGTGCCTGCATGTTTGGTCTCTACAGCTTCATGCCAGTCGTCATAAAGAAAACGAGTGCCACCTCTGTCAACCTTTCTTTGCTCACAGCAGATCTGTACAGTCTGTTCTGTGGACTCTTTCTCTTCCATTACAAGGTAAGTTAAGTTGGAGCTTCTTTGTGACAATGACAGTTATAGAAATATCAAGTTCTGGAGGACATGGTATGGGATTTGGTATGTGGGGTCCTGATTTTTATGTGGTGAGTGGGAATTCAGCTCTGGGTGGAGATGCCACAATTTAGATATTCATATTTCAACTCAGAATAAAGGTAGCATCTTGTCCTGAGAGACCAGTGACTAGAGACAATAGACAACAAAAGGTAAGCAACAGTCATTGGGAATTAAGCTCTTTAAAAAGTGGGGTCCTCTCAACCTAGAAGCTATGCTTTCCAACCTGAGATTCCAAAGTTTATATTCAGTTTTTCATTCAATTCCCAAGCTGCAGCCACAAATAGATTTTTCTAAAGTCTTTGGTAGTGTATTTACTCTTTGGGGAAGTGACATAATCCACAGTCTCCCAAGTTCTGAGTTTCAGATATTCTAAATCAAATATGAATGGAAAAGGTCATTGTGTTCCCTCAAGGAAGTATAATAACTAACTACCCACTTGCTGATCCATTAATAATCAGTTAGAATTGGCATGTGAGAAGAAACCCAGTTTGTATTCTTTCATTAATCCTGTAAGACAAGGATTGATGGATTGATGGGGAATATGACACAGTGTGGCCAAGTGTAGAATGTACACACACACACACACACACACACACACACACACACACACACATATCCAAAGTAGGACATGCAAAAAAAAGAAAAAGCAGCAAAGACCCTACACCCTGCTGATCAAGGGCATCCGTCAGCATCATTAATGCAGTGGATATTGAGGCATGTTAGCTGACAGAGCTCATCCAACCACATGAAGTTGGGCTTGGATTGTGAGGCAGGGTTCTTGGAGAAATGATAAGCTGAGAAGTGTAGGTACTGGAGATGCTAAGAGGCAAAGCCGAAGTGAATAATCAGAATTGTGGCAGGAAGAGGCAGGAGTCCTACTCAAAACATATCGAGGAGAACACAGGCCAGGCCAGTTGGTGGGAAGACTGGAAACAGATCCAGTCAACTGGGAAAGATGCTATGTTTTTTCCCAAATGCAATTGAAAAATTCAGATTCTATTTATTTAAAGCATAAGTGCAGGTTTGAAAGAAAATGGCTCCCAAAGGGAGTGACACTAATAGATGTGGCTTGTTGGAGTAGGTGTGGCCTTGTTGGAAGAAGTGTATCACTGTGGGGGTGGTCTTTTATACTCAAGCTACACCCAGGGTGGCAGATCACTTCCTGTTGACTGAGAATCAAGATGTATAACTCTCAGCTCCTTCTCCAGCACCATGTCTGCCTGCATGCTGCCATGAGTCACCATGACAATGGACTAAACCTCTAAAACTGTAAGCCACCCCAACTAAATGTTTTCCTTCTAAGAGTTGACATAGTCATGGTATCTCTTTACAGCAATAGAAACGTAACTCAGACAGCATAGAACAAGGGGTTTTGATTCACATATTTTATCAAAGGCTTACCACAATCAAGTTTATTAAAACATCCATCATCAGCTCTTTCTGTCTCTCTCTGTGTCTCTCTGTCTCTGTCTCTGTCTCTGTCTCTCTGTGTGTGTGTGTGTGTGGGTGGGTAGGTGGGTGGGTGTGTGGGTGTGTGGGTGTGTAGGTGTGTGGGTGTCTGTCTATCTCTCTCTGTCTCTCCCTCTCTCATTAAGACTGTCGTTTTCATATTTCAAGCAAATATTCCCATTAATTATAGTCGTTTCACTGGGCACTAGTGTCCAGAGCCTACTCATCTTATGAGCTAGAAACTTGATTTCTTTGACTAACATCTCCTTACTTCCCTGGGGGTCTCTACTTTGCATGGGGCCTTTTGTAGCATATAGTGTCAAACTGACAACTTAAAGAAGCTTCTCAAATCTGGACTGTGTTTGTTGCTGTAACTCATTTTGTCCATGCCCCGCAATTTCTTCATCCTGAGCTACCCAAGGCCTGATATGGATGCAATCATGCTCCTCTCAGGTTGTCCCCCGACTGCAGTGCTGAAAGAGCTAGATTCCCTCAAAAAATCCAATTATTTTCTAGAGCCTTGGAGACCATTTGGCCATGGTGTCAATGCTACAGGAGAGTGACCACCTTTCTTCCCTAAGGTTAAGTATTCTGGTCTGGTCCACTCCTTAGCAGGAACTCAGTTCTTATCAGTTAACCTTGTAATTGATACTCTATTTATCAGTTAATGGCTTCATTGGCTCCTAAACCAGAAGAATCTTTTGCTCATCACTTTGGGAAGGATGACTAAAACCATTGCTGTGAGGACCAAAGTCAGTTTTAAACAGTCCAGACCCATTACAGCTATGAGCATTCCCTAACGCAGTGCTCTTGGAAAACAAAAACAAACAAACAAACAAACAAAAAAAGCAGACCCACACCATCCCCCAAAGCCTCAGACTCAGAATCTGGGCATGTATCTAGGAGGATTTACCTAAATAGCCAGCTGCCGCATGAGTGCTTTCTTAATATGAGCAATTTAAAATTGAAGCAAAAATGTTAGTAAATCTTATAAAATTAAAAAATAGTTATGGTAATAAAGTTTTAATATGAATGTTTAAGTAGATATTGGAAGAAAGGCTGTTTATATTTTTATACATCTATTTTAGAAAAATATGTTTAAGTATCTTGCTTGTTTTTTTATTTCATCTATCTCATCTATCTATCTATCTATCTAGAGATATGTTGTCATGTAGCCCAGACAGACCTCAAAGTTACTTTGTAGTTGAATATAACTTGAAACTTCTGATCCTCCTGTGTCTATCTCCCACATGCTGGAGTTGCATGTGTGTGCCGCCATAGCTGGTACTGGGTATTGAACCCGGGCCTTCATGCATGCAAGGCAAGCAAGCACCGTGCCAATGGAGCCAAATTCTCACATCTTCTTGTACATCTTGCATTATGTTTTCATTACTGAATGACAATAGTTCCTGGCATATTCTGGATATCAGACCTTTATCAGACAGATGGCTTGCAAATACTTTTCCCTTTTGGTGGTTGTCTCTTTGCTTTTTTTTCCCCAATGCCATTTGAATAACAAGAGTTTTCTAAATATGCTTTTGATGACATCAAATTTGTCCATAGTTCAAGAGGCTTATTTAATTGTGGAAGAAATCAAGTCATCCCACTGCTTCTTTGAGCCACCAAGTCTTCTTTGAATGCTTTCTGTGATTCTATGGGTTCGTTTCCTGAGGCTACTCATAATATCTTCAAATTGCTTTGTTCTTTCTACTCTAAAGGAGTAGCTGACAGCCACAACTAAGGAAGACAACATTCAGTTCAGGTGAGGATTTTTGTAACTATGAAGAGTAGGTGCAAGCCAGTAATTTTCAACTATGTCTTCTTATGAAGAGTTTTCAGAATCCTGTAGATGCAAGCTGGTAATCCTAAACTATAGCTTCTTGTGAGGAGTTTTCAGAATCCTGGTGTACAGTCTCCAGTCGCACTGATCCAGGTATTCTATGCATCTAATGCTTCAAACCTGTCAATGCTCTCTATTGGTCACCTCTATTGGTTAAACCCCTGATCCAGTCTTACAAGTAAACAGTGCTAGGACCAAGTGGTGCCGATAAAAAAGATTACTGCAAAATTGGAATACTGTCAGAAAGTAACATTCCAGATGTGGATTTGACTGTCATAGGAATCAGTTCTCATCATTGCAAGGGACAGGACTAGCATATGACAGCAGGAATGTAGAGGGTCTCATGCTCCGGTGCTGGGGACTAGACTTCTGGGCTCTCTATAGGTTTTACTGTAGCCAGCAGTTAGCGTTTATCCTCTCACTTCATCATGATGTGTGGATGTCACCTTCTGGGATGGTTATAAATGTCTGTAAGCTGAGAGGAAAGGCGACTCGCTCACAGATGTTGCTAACCCACATAGAATTAGATGACTAAATGAGGCTCTCCTGCCCAACAGTCATAATTCCCCTTTTCTTACTTTATAACCTCAGGGGGGGGGAATCCATTCTTTCTCCCTCCCATTATCCCCCAGCAGTATCTCTGTCTTGGTGCTGACTGGGCAATACAGCCTTTTGTCCTGGAAAGCAAGTGTCTTGATTCTAAATGAGACTATCTGGATGGAATGGGGTGCATGCAATCTCGATGTTTACGATATTGGAAAGTGGCTCTGGGCTTCTGTTCTTTATTTCCTGACAGCAATATTGAGTCCAGAACAGTAAATCTGTAGCAGCCCTGGGAAAAGAGCCTTACTCAGCTTCAGAGGCAGCTAAAACTAAATCCAAGGAGAGATTGATATAGAAACTTTTCAGTTTGATAGTCTTGGATTTTCAAGGTCAGAGCTTCATATTACAGGCTCTATATGTGTTGTATAAAGAGTATACTTAAAGTTGAAAATTGCTGCTTTAATAACTTACCACAAAACCAGTGGATGACCAGGGGCTTAATGCCTTCTAGTTCTGAAAGTCACCATGCTCATAGTTACAATCCCATTTGGGTGGTTCTGTTGCTTCTGGGAGGCTCTAGGGGAGAACCCCATTTCCTATCCAGCTTCTAAGGACTGCTTGTATGCCCTTTGTCTTCTGGCCCCTTTCTGCATTGTCCAAGTCAGGATATAGTATCTTCAAATCTGACCATAATTCCTGCTTTCCTATTAGAGACCTTTGGCAACCTACCTGTCACAAAGTCCTTACTTTAATGCCATCTACAGAGTCCCTTTTGTCTTTCTAGGTAACATAGTCAGGGATTTCAAGAATTAGGATACATCATTGGGGAGCACATTTTTCTGACTATTACCAGTCACAGGAAACAACCAGAATACCCTGGCTTCAGGTCAGGCCACTGGGGACATGATGATGCCCTGCTCAGAAGCCATGTCTGGACAATGAAGGCACACATTCTTCAGATGCCTTGTACTCTGGTGGTAGAATTTCTAAACAGACTTTTCAAAAGTATTCCAGTGTCCTGACAATATGTGATTTTAATAATGAAATTAGTAATTCATGTGCAGAGAGAATAGAGTGGAGTTGAAGACATCCT